AAACCTTAAAGAAAACTCTTTCCAGTTTCCTTAGATGTTCTTGATGGTCTAGGACCGAGACACTTTTCAGATTTAATAACGATTTCGCTCCAACACCAACTTTACTAGATGCCCTTGCCAAATTTGTAGATGGTATTCTGGAAGTGAAGGTAATTTACCAAAACCAATTCTGTCGATATTCATTGGCGCTTCATTGACGGAATTGATGGTGGAATTGTTAATTGTACCCTCATATGTACTAGGCTTGAGTTTGTCGATACCCACTCAGCGCTTTTTTTTCTTGTTGAACGACTTGTGGGCCCTAAGCTAACTTACTTATTACGTTCCTCCCCACTGTATCAGCACCTGGATTTGTTCAAGGTTTTGATGATCTATTCCGTATAACTGTCTGGAGAACAGCAAATATAACAATGGATGATGCAACATATAATGAAACAACTCTTCCATGTGACCGTGTTATACAGGATGGCTCAGACCACTGGTTTACTCGTTTTAATTCTCAGGGGTCAACAATGTTTAACTAATAGCCAAGGGACCTTACTAATATTGTTCTTCTCTATCGAATAAACCGGAAATTGGACCACCCAATCCTCACTTTTGCGGGGGTAGAGGCGGACAACTTTGTAATTTTACATGGAAACCCACATTTTTTATTCCATGTTTCGATCTACTAAAAAAATTATGAAGATGTTATCCGAAACATTTGTTCTCGTAGTAACAGGTGGCGTTGTAATCACAGAAGCTATTGCAGCAAATTTGTATCTTGACTTTTTTCAAAATCCAAAGAATTTTCTTGGTTAACAAATGGAATAATTTCCGAAAAATAACAAGAAATATCTAACTTTATAATAGGCGAATGGAAAGCTCTCCGAAAGACGTACATTTAAAAAAATACGTTCAAATCCGATGTTCACGAGAAATCAGCTTTTGACTTTGGAACTCGTTTTCGAGACAGCCAAAAATTATTTTGCAAATCGATTCTTTAAAGTGTGAACTTTTATAGGCTTCTATTTGACCAAAATGAATAACTTTTATTAATCCGAGTGCCTAGGACCTATTATAGAGTTACCTTTCTTGTTGTATTACGGGAGTTATTCCATTTGTTAGTTAGTAAACTCCACAATCCGTCAATTTACAAAAATCATCGGGCCAATTGCCGGAGAAGATTGTTTTAGGGTTCCATTGGGTACAAAAAATTGAGAACACTCTTAGAGCCACCCATACGGAAGAATTGTTATGAAATGGGTGATGTCCGCATATAAAATACAATCCGCTTATATGTTTATCTAGTTAATCGTTAAAATAAATCAAAAACAAACGTGGTCCAAGAATGGACCCCTGGGGAACTCCCCTATTAACAGATAATTGACTTGACAAACGCCCCATTGTGAAATTCGTGCTATTGGATAAATAGGAGAAAATTAATTTTAAGCCGCAATCGTCAAAAGTATACATTCTTCCTCTCCTCCTCTTTCTCTAGCTTTCTTTTCATTGTTTACGTCTTTCTGTGCTTTTCTATCTAATACTTTTGTTACTAACACTACCATTTATTTATTTATTTATTATCCCTCTCTTGTTCTGGGCCCTCAACAGGCTTGCGCCCAATTACAGAGTGACCCGCATAATGCTTTTTAGAGGTGCCTTTTCAGAAGGTCTTAAGTTGTTCTATACTACTCCGGTATTTACCTTACGAATTAGGAAAACTGCAGGAAAACCTAATTCGGAGTAGCCGGCAGCATGCTCGAAACTGGTCTAAGGTAATGTCCATCTCTGCCACAGATGAAAAATTCACCTCAACCCAGGTTCGAACACCCGACCTCCGGATTTATAACTCAACCCTCTACCATTGAGCCATAATGCCGGTAACCATACCATAAATGCCTTTTCGCATTAACTGATGTTAATTTATGGCACAATTTGCAAGGAGATTTGTTGATTCTTGCGTTGCTTTATCTGAAAGTCTGGCTCTACCACGAGTGGGCCTTAAGTCCCGTACAGACCTGGATACAATCGGAAGAAACATTGTCGCCGACTGTATTTTTCTCGTGTATTTTGATTCGACCGAATTTGCAGCGACATGAGGCGGCATTTTATCAAAGGATTCACCAAGTTTTCCGTTTTCCCCTTTTAAATGAAAAAAATCTGCAGGTGTATGGGTTTAGAATCAAGATACTGTAACGTGATTTATAAATTCGGGTTCGATTTATATCAATATTTATTAAACAAAACTAAACACTATAAAAACTGTACAATTTATATCGACTATTTATATTACACACTTCGCAATTTATATCAGATTTTCGCGCTCAATGTTTCGTCCGTACTCGATCTCGTTCGGTAGTAAACTTTCTGCGATGTTAGGTCCGCAACCATTTATACACGCAAGCAATGCAAGTCCAGAACACTCGCGTAATTACCGGATAGTCTCGAATATTCCTATACAAATCCCACTATCGCGCGCGTAGAAAGTTGCAGAGCGCCAAAGGCGACGTCATGTCTGGAGCGTTTCCGTTACAATACGTACATTGTTTTTTTATTAAGTTGAATACTGTATTCAAATCAGTTTTAGAAACTTTAGAACCGACCATAAACAACACATTTTCCAGGAGATTTTCTAAATCTGCGCTTAACAATTTCATAAAATTTTGAAAACCACTTCCATCTTGTAATTTTAGGTCGTTCATTCAACCGTTGTTATACTTCATCTCGTAAAAAGCCTTTTTTGCCACCGTCTTTTTTGTTTTTTTTTAAGTTTTCACAAGTAGTAACTCTCCGTTAATGCGGTTTTCAAATACATCTCCACGAGTGCGGTTGGATTAAAAATTCGTTGGAAAATGCGCTAAAAAAGTGGTAAATGTGTTATGATGTTATGTGCTCTAATTTTTATTCTTACACTTTTTTGTGCGCGCCACTTTGTTTTATTGTCCTTTCGTAAATGAAATTCTTCGCAGTCTTACTGCTACTGTCTTCAATTTTCGTTTCCTGAAGAGTTATTAGCTTGGATATCCTCTACATTTTTAAGATGCCCATCCTCCTCATCGTCTAGATCATTGTCCTCTTCATCATCTCTGTTCTTAATACACTTCTAGAATAGAAGATCCTCTTCCCCGTCACTACTTTCTCTGCCTTCGTGTTTCGCCTATCTTCCTGCGATAACTCTTCTAAGACTTCGTACATGTATTTTCACAATAGCGCTTGTTCTTGTTCGTAGTTCATAGCAATTGTAACTTTAATGAAAAGAAAACAACACAAGAAAATAAAATTCACTAGCAGAAATTAGCTAAAAAATACAATACCTTGCAAGAAGCAAAAACGTGGCGAGAGAATCGTTTGGTGCTGTGGGGTTCCACTTCCACAGACCAATGGCATTTCAAATTGTTATTTCAAACTGCTTATTTTTGCTACAACCATGCTCTGCTCCATGTTAAAGTTTGGAACTTGCCATGAATAGTTTGAAATCAAAATAATCTAATATTGGATTTTTGCATTTTTACTTTGGCATTTATACAATAAAGAGGGCCTTACACGTGCATTCATTTCATTAAACTGTACACTCCTGTAAACGGACCAAGTTCAAAGACATCAAACATGGCGTTAATTCAAAGTTCGGCGAAATGAAGGCGCGTAGAAGGCCTGCTTTAACATAAACTGACAAAAATTGTTTGTTGAAGAAACATAAAATCGCAGAGCGTCGATCTAAATCGGGGATTCCCAAATTATTTCGGGTCAGAAACCCCTTTTCCAAAATAAGCAGATACTTCGGACCCGCATAGCCAAATTCCTTTAAAAATCTGAGCCGAGTTTTTCGTCTTGTACGACCTTGTGCAGGTGCTATCGACTTGTTGAGTTTTTCCCCAAAAAAATGCCCCTTATGTGATGGTTTTGTCCGTCTGTGCGTCTGTTACTCAACTGACTCGAGAACGAAAAGAGATTGCGATGTCAAACCTTCGCCAATCGATTTCTACGAGTTCAAGAAGCAGTGCTATTGGATATGAGCCGGATTAAAAGTCTGGTTTACGAATACGAGCCGAGTGAAAAAAATTCCCCTGCGCTTCTTTGTATCTTGTTTCAAAGTACAACAATGATACTTCCTACTAAAGTATTAGTCATTCGTATAACAAGTTGGCGACTGTAACTCGACTGATACAGTATCTTTAACAGGCGTTGATTTTTTTACTTTGTCCACCCCCAAAATCAGTTTTCGTTTTTGTCGATCCCTGGAAAAGCGATTTCGAGACCACTGATTTTATTTGTCCTTTTTTGTGCCAGTACGAATTTTAATTGGGAGATTCGGGGATTTAATGTTTCTTGTCGTTCTCACGAATGTTTTGATAGTTTTTGTATTCAAAGCATGTTCGAAACGCGTGTTTTCGTTGCCGCTTCCACGTAAACATAGATACCTTAAGGCATAGGTACCTACTTATCTTATCTCACCGTACATAAAAACAATATGTAGCCTTGAATTTCGGAGTTGGTTTGAAAGTTGATAAAATAAGATTGCACTCCGTCGAGATCTTTTGGGGACAGATCAGTTGAGTGTAGGCGATCGAGTTGTCTGCGGAAATTTTGGGAAAATTACTGATTTGTGTAGCTTAGAGCGGTAAAGCTGAACTTTCTCGTGTCATTACGAGGTAATTACTGAATTATTTTTAGGTATTGCATTAGTCACCAGAACTAAATATCCGCGAGACACCACAAAAGTAAATATTGAACTGAAGGTGTAGCAAGCAGTTCGTGGGAAACTAGTAATAATTGCGTAATCTCTACAAGGAACCCTCGCTTCCACTGCTTTTCGTAATCTTATCTTTGGCAGTAATAAGGCATGTCATGTGCTCGTGATAATAGTAACTAAAGTGTAGTGTAAAGTCGGTCCGCTGTAATGGTAAAAATGGGGAAAATAAAAGACTTCTTTTGGGGAGGCTGTGCGTGCCCTAACATAAAGCGGTATTTAATCCGTGAGATCCGTCTATACGTCACTAATGCTCAATTTTTTGTTACAGCCGAAAATGGTTACCGCCGCCATTACGCAAACTATCGCAAGGAAAAGTGGAAAAGAGTCAGTCACCTGCAGATCGGCCACCCTTAAAGAAGACAGGATCGGATAAAAGAATTAAGGTAAGATTTGCAGATTTGTCATTTATCCCCATCGACTAATAAATACTTCGTACTAAACTTTATTCTCGACTACGGAAAAGTAGGCACTCCTCTCTTTATTTGTTGGACATTCTTTGCATTTTCCCAAAAGTGTCCGAGGGAGCATCTCGGTTAATTATTCACGTTTGAAATTCACGGGGTTGACGGACGCGTCTGCTTATTTTATTTCTTAGAGCTGTCTTTTATATTATTTATTCTGTTTACTTCGAAGTAAAATTGGAAATCCAATTTTCTTTGCTGACGTGATTAGGTACGTCATACTGCCATCTTCGTTGACGCTCCGTTATTAATGTTGACGTTTTTTTTAATGCAGAAATCGATTTGGTACAGCATCGTTGTGAAGATTACGCGTTTCGCAAATGTATATGCAGGCGTTGTTAAAAAATTACAGCAAAATGAAAACTACAGTTATTTTTTATAGTCGAAACTGAAAACTTCAGGAAATGTATTCGTTCGTGTTTCAAACTAAGAAACCTTATTTTACCGGATAGTCCAATTCAATGGCGTCTTCAATCACCGTTTTGGAATTACGTTTTCGCTTTTCTAGTTTTGGGACTATAGCACTCGTTTATTTATTGTAGGTGTGAGTATTTTAGACCAGTCATTCATTGGTAAGATTTGTGATTGTCAGCCAGGAGAAGCGATGTCAGGGACGGCGAAGAATCCTTTATGTGCATCTTCTAACATGGCAAGTTTCCACAGAAGATTTTAGCTTACTTGGATTACACTTTCTCACGTGAGATCTTTAATAAATAAGTAATATTCGCAGGTTCTGTACAATTTTGTTTGCAAAAACAAGGCTTCTGCAAACCACCGAACTGGATCACGTTTCGTTTACTAAATTTCCCCAATCCCTAGTCCTAGCACTAAGTTATTTATGGATGGAAGTCAAACTCAAAATTTTCTTTTAATTAGAAAGCGATAAAAACCAATGCACTTACAATTCTGAGTCGGTTTTTAATTCTAAAGTCTGAAAATTTCTTCGAAGAAGTTTGAGTTTGATGCGCACACACAATGGCCCATATGAATAAAAGGGAGCATATGCTTATACTTGCAAAATTCTAAGTAAATACTCGTAAGTGCTCCTTCACACTGGACGACTTAGCGCTGCTGAGCAGGGGGGCGGGACGAGTAGGTATTTACTTTGAATTTTGCAAGTATGTATAAGCATATGCTCCTTTTTATTCATATGGGCCAATTTCGGAGATTGTGCTATTTTGAAAAACACGCTGGTGTTTCAAGAATTTACAATAAATAGACTTAAACATTTTTGTATTGAAAACCAGGTAGTTTTTTGAATATAGCACAATTCCGAGGAGGTCATGACTATTAAATCTTTGCTCTTCGTACTTTCTATAGGTTTCACATGGTACCTGGCTTAAGAAACTATTATTCTGTTCCTAATCCGGACAGAAGAGAAGTTCCTCGGTATTATGATAGTGATTTAATGTTCCTATATCGTTATCTCTTAATAATCTATTTTGTTACCCATTATTTATATTTGTTAGGCATTTGTTAAGTTATATCTAGTTTTATAGTTTTCCTTATCTTTGTACATACCAAAAATCTAAACAAATTTAGGCTCTCTAGGACCGTGTAGCTACCGGTTGATATTTAGAAGGTTTGAAGTTCCGTACTTCTCGTACTTTCTATAGGTTGCACGCGGCGCGTGGTTTAATGAGCTAAAAGGTATTCTGTTGCTAATCAGGACACGGGGAGTTTGCCCATATCATTAAATATTCCTATATCGTTCCTTATATTATCTCTTAATGAATAGTTTTTTTGTTATCCACTGTTTATTCTACATTTGTATTTGTTGCGTATTTATTAGGCTATATCATGTTTTTGTCTGCATTAAAAATTTATAAAAATTAGACCTCTCAAGTCCGTGTAGCTATCAGTTTTTATTTTCTACACCCCTTACACATTCAGGTGCATGTGAAATTTTCGTTGAGGTACGATGTTGCTGTTTTTAATGGTCGTTCCCTCAATAAATCATTGCGAGTTGCCGCACATTAAATTCTCAACGGAGATAGGTCTACGTTCAAATCAGTATTAGCGTAGTAACCTTGTTTAACGGTAAGTAGAATCCAATTTTTCTATAAATTCTTATAGGAATAGAAATGCTCATGAGAAAAATTAAGTTGCATCGGCAGTTCCGCTGCAAGTAATTTGTTGACCAATTCTTTTGTTTTTTATTAAATGGGAAAATAATTCCCTGTGTGAACATTAAGTCATTTTAATTTTTATTGGGTCACCGAGCTTTTCAAGGCTGTATGCTGAGCTTCAGAATTCTGTAAAGTCAGCTTTTTTTACCAAGCCGCGCCTAATTTGCAAAGTTGCAAAAGTAACCTATGCGATCTATTTCAAACGGGTAATTCAAAACCAAAACCAGACAATGGGGATACAATTTGGAACAAATAATTCATTGACGAACGTGTGAGAAGATTACTAAAAGCTAGCCGTATTACAATCGACAAAATAAAAACTAGTTATGGCTGTTATGACTTATGAGTAATATTTGTTTGGTGCAATGTTCTTGAAACCTTGACTCTTTTTAAACTGAGAGATCAAGGGGAAAAATCGCAAACAATTTAACGCAAATAAATGCTCTAGTTACAAAATCCGAATCCAAAAGGTCGAATCGACGTAAAATCTATTTTTATTACATTTTTGGATTCTACGTAAAATTTCAGTTCTTTTGATACCTACCCACATGTCGATATCTAGAATTTATCGTTTTTAAGTATAGTACTTGAAAAAAGGGCGGATGCAGACCGTGAAAATTGCTTACTCGAAAACGGTTAGTAGTTATGTCAACCCATTTTTAGTAGTGCATAGAAAAAGAATAGGGCTTTCTTTTAGTGTACTCGTATTATAAAAAGTAAAGTCGCGTATAACCGCACCTATAGAGAGATCCAAATTTAGAAAATTTCAAAGACTCTTTTTTAAATGAAATTAACCACAATGGTTTGAGTTGGGGCATACCCCACCAATTGGTTGAGAGACGATGGACCAGGGGACCTCCCAAGACGAATTGAGTTTTGTAAATGGCTAATGTTGAGGGATCAGGAAGATGGTAATTTTTTTGGGAACATTAGTCAAATTTAGAAAAAATGGCGTGTTGAAATGCGATCAAAATTATTTTTTCAATCGAGAACTACACTTCTAAAAGTGTTGTAGTTTTAATGTGTGCTAGGCCTCTCAGAGCAGGAGAAGACATGATCTGGAGAGTAAGAAATGCACTACAAGAGATTGAATCACAAGTGATAGAATAGAACATTAAGAAAAAGAATTGAATTTTGTTTGAAACGCAAAGGCGCTGATTTTAAGCAATTCTTTCCTTGTTTTTTTTTTGTTTAAAATGCAATTGTCATAAAATCATGGCCAACAACTAGAAAGAAAATCCGAAAAAAATGGTATCCATTCAATGAACTGGGATGAAGTCAAAAATCAAAAGTCTTAAATTTGGATCTCCATAGGTGCAGTCGTACGCAACTTAACTTTTTTTAAGTGTACTAAAAGAAAGCCCTTTTCTTTCTACACTGATAAAAATTGGTTGCCATAGCTACAACCGTTTTCAAGTAATCAATTTTCAAGTTACCGTCTGCATTCGCCATCTTTTTAAGTCAAAATAACTTGAAAATCATAAATTATAGTTATCGACATGTGGGTACCAAAAGAACTGAAGATTTACGAAAATGCAATAAAAAATAGGGGTTGCGATTTAAAATAACGAAGTTACTAGCTACTTCCTGTATTTCTGGAAGTGCCACATTTTGAAAATATTATTTAGTATATATCGATTCGGCCTTCAGAGTACAAATTTTCAAACATCTACTCGTAGACGCTTTAGCACAGTTTTTAGCAATGACACCTGCCAACAGTATTTTAGAAACTTTATCTTCTATAAATTACCTACTTCCTATATTTTTCGGTATGCCTTGTGCTTTAGGTACACGTGATTTTCGTAAATAAAATTAAAAAGACTTATCTAGTAAAAATGTGAGAGATTGTACCCAAAATTGCCGTCTTTTTTTTATTGGATCGTTCGTAAACCGCATTAAAGTTGCCTCTTACTTTACACCATGGTCTTGAAATTCTCACATGTAATTCAGATTTCAATTTTATTAATTATGGTTATATTACTTCAAATTTGTTCAGATTCAAACATTATCCTTTATAACCCATAAATGCAATATATTTCACAAATTTCAACTATAATGCAGGGGTATATCGTATCCTGTACGTATACATGTCAAAGGAATACATTTAGTATTTGGTAAGCCAGCGATTTAGGCAGAAATCCGCAACCCCTTTGTACGGTGGTACGGTGATGAGCTTTTTTGTCCAATTATTCTTTCATGAAACATAAGGGATCATTTTAAAAGGATTATACTTTTCGATTTATCAATATTATTATCAGATAACGGTGCGCGATAGAAAAATGTGGTTTTAGTCGATATTAGGTATCCCAAGTTATCCGCTACAGTCTATACTTTCCATTATAGCCTCCAGTCCAGTATCTTAGATTAATTTATTGCGGCTATGGTCTTAATCGTAAACCACTTTATACATTAATTGATTACTTAATTATTTAATTGATAATTCGATAATTAAAGGCGCCTCGAATGGACAGAACATTGTTGGCATTTTACTCTTTCAAAAAGTTGATGTCCTGCTACGATAATACGTTCCGTTCCTAAAAGAGTAGTTTGTCTAGATAAATGTTTTGTTAAAACGATTTCCACCCTTTCGCCAAAAAAACGTATGAACTAATGCTTTTAAAGGACGGAACAACAGGTTGAACAAACTCTTGAAACCAGATTCAAATATCTTTGAATTCGTACACATTTTGAAGAATGCCGCAGAATACATGGACTATATGTATACGATTGGCAATACTTATATTTGGAAGGGAAAAGAAGAAAAAAGAAGTAGGTAGGTACGTAAAATTGGACGGACATCCACACATTGCTCAATAGTTTCCTTTGCATCGGCAGAAGATCAACTTCAGAAGCTCAGGGGGTGTTGGACCTTTCGAGCTTTGTACAGGCATATTTGTCCATATTTTTTTGCAACTCTAGTCTTCAGGGTCGTTTCCATTACCGAGATTTGATGGTAGACTCGTAAGCGGGATGTATCTTAAGCTGGATTCTGGAAGAAATGAAGATAAAGTAAATGTACTTTCTGTCACTGATTCGGTGAACCGTTTATATCTAATGTTTTCAAGAGAATCATCATCTTTATTGCCACCAACCAAAGGGATGAAAAATGTTCACCAATGACAGTGAGCAAAGGAGAAGCGACTCTCTCAATTTAAACTTTACGTTTTCACCGTGTATCTCAGAAACAAACGTAGCTAGATTGATTCGGTTTGCGGTATTAAAAGTTTCACAAAAAAGTGGCAAGTGGAAAATCGGTTACTTGAGCTGAAATTAACTGTTTTTGGCGTTTTTTGGCTCTTGATCATGTGGAAAAATCTATTTAGTTTAATTAATGTTTCATAAACCATTTGATCTTAAAATGAACTTTTTCCGGGAGCGAATTTTCAGAGAGTGCATCGTTCTGGAAGCTAATTGTAGTAATTCTTACGCGTTACGGCTCTTTAGGAGTGAATTGTTCGGGGGCGAATTATACATACCATTTTTATATGAAAATCGATCAAAATTTAAAATTGATGTAATAAAAATATCGATTCTTAAAATTTAAATCCATTCATACAAATCACACCATTTGTTTTGGTCGCGAGACACTCTTTTTTATAAAGTCCAAATAATAAATTACGAAATTACAATCATTTCTTCTAAACACAATCTTATCGTTGAAAAACTTTCATTTTTTTATCTGAAATTGTTTGAAAATGCGAGCCTGGATAATTAGTACAAACTTAGTGATTTGGTTCTCATTTATCACACGAACAATATCCGTTCCTTATTGTCTTGTGGAATGTCGATATTTTCCACAAACTGTGCAACAGAAGCTACCAAGGATTTTGCAAAAGCAGGATAAAAAGTTTGAGATTTTTAAAAGAGAAAGGCTGAATATCAAATTTGAAAAGTTGAAAGTCAGAGTGGGCTATGTTAAAAAACTAAGTACTTATAATAAAAATTAGTCTGATTTTTCAAATGTTGTACCCTTTTTTTCTCATTGTTGGGACCATTATGGTTTTCAATACTTTTTTAATGAGATTGTATGAAAATCATAAATGCTATTGTGGCGAGAACAAAAAGGGAAGTAACTCCAGTGCAAAACTTTACATAAAGAAATTACTGACCGTATAGGTAAGTTCCTTTTTTTTTAAGATAAATACTTCTACATAAACTATCCCTTTAAGGATAAGGGAAGGTTTTATATACTTCGACTTTCAGTAAGCAGGAGGTCATTTTCTTTATGTGCGTTCTTAACATTTGATTTGATTTGATATGGGTATAATGTTTTTAATTCTTCTGTTCTCAGTATGCATCCCCATGTTTCCAAAAATAAAAAACGCTTTAAGATCTACGGGAAATGGAAACTTCTGAAGGAAGCTTTCCGTTCAGTACAGTTTCATGAGCACGTATTTAACATATACCTATCTCAAAATTAATGGGGCAAGATGTTTCGTCTTAAAAAAGCAATGTCTCAGAAATTTGCATGGTAACTTGCAAAAACCTCCTGGGTCATCATTTTGCGTCCCTCATATTTTCTGTTTTGTCTGTTTCCACCTTAGCTTAGGTTGACCACCCTCGGTAAATAGGAATAATAGGAAAGGCTTTTGCCTTATGGTTTATTAATTATTGAGACATGCTACGTGAGTTTAAAATAAGGTCTTTCGGACGAGGGGCGTCGATTAAATTTCGTTTCAATTATTCACGTAGAGAATTACTGGGGACGGCGCCGGTAAAACTATCGATGCTTTCTGGTACTATTTTTATTCATTGGTTCGTCAGTAATCCCACCAAACTACTCTACAGAGGAAAAGTATTACGGCAATTAACTATGATAGTTAATGCGCCGCATGCGATTTTACACATCTGGACTTTTACCGCAACAACAGCCGGTATTTATTTGTTTATTGTCGCCTTTAGTGTTTTTCGAAATTTTCCGAATTAATTATCGGATCGAGATTTTAGAAACCGAGCACAAATTGACCTTGTTTCTATACTCTATGTATTTCGTCCGCTACAACCTTACGTAATGTTTTATAATAAAAGTACGTGGTGTATTGCAAATTAGGTTCAATTAAACCAATTTATATTAGGTAACCGCGTGCAGTTCGCTTGACAGTTTTCGGCGGAAATCAGAAGCTGTCGATGGGCGTAATTAAAAGTTAATTAATTACGTTTTAAGGTATGTGTTTGCACAACCTTTCTATATGCAAATGCGGCCAGGTAGAACAATTCTCAAGGCTGCAACAGTCAGTCTGGAACACAAAACACGCGCATCATGTAGAGATTTTGTGTTATTACGTTTGCATTTGGTTACAGGTTCCGCCCGATATGGGTAACAAAACGTCGGTGTCGGAGGGTGAGGACGAAGAAGAGAGAACGGTCACGCTGAGGGGAATTACGCCGATCGCTCCGTCGGAATTCACAAACGGCGGCGGCGAAGAAGCGGACGACGAAGTCGAACTGCCTCCGCCGATGAAGCCGATACAGGAATCAATTTTGGTGACGGCCGGACCTCCAGGTGCCGTACCAACGATCGACGAGAATTCCTGCAAGCGTGTAAGTAACCCAAAATTTGATCGAATCACGTGCATGTAAGCAATTAATTTTTAATGTTGGTCCAACAGGTGTCTAGTTTAACACTCAAGTCCCTGGAAGGTGCCACTTCTGCAGATTTGGCAGAGATTGAGCAAATTGTTAAGGAAAGAATGGTGCGAAATTTGGCAATACTAACACAGTTCAGAGTATTTTATTTAATAGAGCATGCCTTCGTTCCCTTTTAGTTTTTTTGGGTGTAGCAGTATGAAGACTAGTTGTAGTTTAGTAGTTCCCCAGAGAATTGCACTGTCAATCTACCCGATGCACTTGTTGATCGTTTCAACTAATGCGGTTAAAATGATCACTAATGGTTTCCGTTTTTTCGTTCGAAAGTGCATGATTTTGGCATGAAACTATCATTCCATCCGCAGTCGGTTGATTCAATCTATTTTCCAGGAGCAACACACCGAAAATTTGGAGCGGAATTCCTTGCTGCGCGACACGAAATCATCGGATGCAATTGCCGAGTGCGGAAGTGGTGTCAATTACCATCGCGATCTTTCAGCGCAATCTTCGTCGAATGAGGCTACCGCCTTAGCGTTTAGTGGTGACGAAAGTGATAAACCGACAGAGGACGTTATAGATAGTGCGAAAAATATGGAAACTCAGATACGTAAAAGACAGTTTGTGTTAAGAGAACTTGTTGAAACCGAAGACGCGTACGTGCGCGATTTAGCTTTGATTGTCGATGGGTACATTGCGACAATGCGCGATCCCGACTGCGAAATTCCCATGCCAGAAGATCTAAGGGGTGGAAAGGATAAGATGGTGTTCGGCAATATAGAAGCCATTTTCGAATGGCATCGAGAGTAAGTTGTCGATCGTGCACTAGTACCTTTTTTATCACATTCAAATTGCAGATTCTTCCTTAAAGCTCTTAAAAGATGCATAGAGCACCCAACTGAATTAGGTCCCTTATTTAAACGTTACGATAGAAAGCTTCATATGTACGTAGTCTATTGTAAAAATAAGCCAGTCTCCGAGTATATAGTATCAGAATATCTAGAAACCTATTTTGAAGAGTTGCGAATTAAGTTAGGACATAAGCTTCAACTGTGCGATTTGCTCATTAAACCTGTACAAAGAATTATGAAATATCAGCTACTGTTAAAAGATATCCTGAAACATACGGAGAGGGCCGGATTGCGTGCCGAAGCAGAATCTTTGAAAAGTGCTTTAGAAGTTATGATAGTCGTTCCTAAGGCTGCTAATGATATGATGGACGTTGGGCGGCTTCAAGGATTTGATGTAAGTAGTACACTGTAAATTCTCTTTACGGTATTATGTTTTGGGGCTCAAGTTCTCTTTTAAAACAAATAATTATTAGATGTATTGTGGGTGTGGGAATTTTTTTAAGGCATAAACTTTCCTTTTTCAAAATTTCAAGCGGAATGTATGCCATTATCAATTTCCTTGACCTTTATTTTTGTATGGAACGCCCGGTATATTCTTATACAGTATGTTATAAACTCATATTTGCTGCTTCACTCTTCATTGGGGGATC